TATATTAAAGATATAGTTCTATGTTCTTAATATAACTCAAAGTTAGAAACTTTGAATAAATCAAATAGGGAAGTCAATAGATTTCACCTAGAGGACAATTCAAAGTAAGTCTACATCTGTGCCACTAAAGAAAATGATATTGCTAACAATAAGCAATTTAGGGCACAAAGTATACAGTTGCTCTCACCTGGAGAAATCTCTGCAGAGTGTAATATTTTTAAACGCAACCTTGTGGCCACATATAAAATTGAAGGTTATACTAGAGAGCAATTGTACAGTTCATCGAGGGGAATGGGGTTTAAAGCCGAAAGCTAACGAGTCACCTTAATGCAAACCCAACCTAGCTGACTAGAGATCCCAAGATCTAGGTTCAAAGGGACAACAGAAATTCTGAGTGACTCACCAGAAGCACTGGGAAGATATAAATCTTCTACCCATTTCTATGATGAGACAGTGCTACCTACAGCGATGATCAGGATAAGCTACGATTTTAATAACTCTTATACGTTGAAAATTCAAGTGGGGTTTAGTAGGATACTCTTAATAAGAAGTCACCTATATGAGTGTGAAGTGGGGCCGTTTCTATGAGAACTATAAAGGCTAAGTTTTCTAGAGCACTCATTGAATACCAGGACTTGTTTAGGGCCAAAATGAACACAACAATGAGAACCAACTTTGTGAGGAAAGCTATTATGTGTTTGTTATTGTCTTGGTTTACACAAACGGCTAAACAGTTCAAGACATCGCGTTCACTGGTTAGCCAGTAAATCCGATAGCAAAACACTAGGGAAGGTTCAAAGCCAAAAGCCACCTATCCTGATGCAGTAACTTTTCAACTATACTCTCTCTAGTGTCTGCATGATCATCTTTTGCATTTTACGCAAATTTCCATTCATTTGGGGGATTGTTGGAAACGGGGGCATTAAAAACATAAACTTTGAATGAGATTTGAAATAGATTCCGCTAATAATTTTTTACGGATCTCTAGACAAGCGCGTTTCTCTCCGCAAGGAGATGAACGTAGTATATTTACTTTCTGAAATCCGTTTCCGGATGAATGAGAAATTAGCTCCAAAGTGTGGTGTTTTGATAAGCCTAAATGGGTATGCAAAATGTGGGAAGTGTTTGTCCCACATGAAAAAAATGTTGAAACAAATTGAAATTTAAATAAGCTGAGTTTAGGATTTGGGCTTGGGCTTGGGCCTAATTGTAAAATCCAAATTATTCTTTTTTGGAATTTTGGATTGGGCCTAATTTTAAGCTGGGCTTATTTAAATGGGTTTCACAAATGAGTGGGTTTTTTGGGTGGTTGGTTTTTTGAATTAAAAAAATTACTTTTTAGTTTTTCTAAAAGGTTACACCTTTTAAATTAAAAAACCATATTTTAGTTTTTCTAAATGGTTACACCTTTTAAATTAAAAAACCACTTTTTAGTTTTTTTTTCAAAGGGTTACACCTTTTTCCGAACCATCATGACCCATGGTTGCACCCACTCGAAAAGGCACATTGCAACCTATTAGAATGGATGTGTCTATTGGTGAACAGACACCATGTGAACCATTGCAACCTATTGGAATAGATGTGTCTAGTGGTAAACAGACACCATGTGAACCATTGCAACGTATTGCAATGATTGTGTCCAATAATGAAGAGATACACCCAATCCGAAAAGGCATATCTGTTTCTATAAATACCCCCCTTTGGATCATTTGCAATTCGTTCATTTTCATTTTCTTCTATCTTCCTCTTTAGACTTGAACCCAACCCAAGTGGGTTCAAACCATAGGTTAAGTGGTCCGAACCACTTAGACCCTAATCCAATTTCATCGAGCCATATTAAGATTGGTCCGAACCATTTGATTCGAATTGCACCCAATTCAGCATTTATATAGCATAAATGCATTTTTGAGTCAGAGAGAGTATTACACGGAGAAGGTTCACCGTATCCACGAGTTTGTAGTGCTGCTACTGGTGGATGTAGACCATTGTATCCTGGGAGATAGACGCCACTGAGTCCGTTAGCACCATAGCGGGGCGAATCTGTCTTAAGGACATAGTATCCAATACTAGCCTCGGTCCAGGTTCTTTATTTATAATTATTATTTCATTAATTTATTTTGCATATTTAATTAAATATAGAGTTGCATATTTAATTAATGATTTCTTAGCATATTGTTAATTATCTCATGACATATTAGTATAAGGTTTGTTATATCTTAAATGTCACATGAAGCATATATTTTTCCAACATATTTTGCACTTTACATTTGATGTATTTATAATAAAGAAAACTAAAAGCATAAGAAAAGTTAAAAATAAGTACAAAATGCAATTATCTCTAAAATTACAAAAGAAAATATAATAAGAAACGTAATCACTATAAATTAATAAATATCAAAATAATTTTTTTTTGAATTATTTAGATTTCCAATAAAATTTCTAAAATATTCAACAGCCTTCCTATAAAACTAAAAACGTAATTTTAGGGCCCTAAATGATGAAATTTGATCAAAATTAAAAATAGCGTATAATAACCGGTATTTATTCATTAGTCATTGTCAATCAGGAATGGGTTGTGTATTGACGAGTATTTAATACGTCACCTGCCACGACAGCTGTCATGCTAATGCTTCATCCTTAGACATAGTCAACAATGGTGCCAGCAGTAGTACGTCACCTGCCATGACAGTTGCCATATTAAACACAACCAGTGGCGGTGCCAATAGTAGTGCCACGTCACCTGTCATGATAGCTATTATGTCAGACAAAGTTAGCAACGGTGCCAGCAGTAGTGCCACGTCAGCTGTTAACCGTGCCTCCATCTGCATCATGGGTCACAACCCATCTCCACCAAATTTCCGTCAGGCTGCTTTCATAATTTTGTCTTCAATCTCAAGCTGGGTTTATACTTACCTTGAGTTTGAGGGGGTATTAGATTACAAGTTTACTCCTTTACCTACCTCCTAGGTTTACATACTACAAATTACCATATATGATTACATTTACCATATTACTATCTATATGTTACTTATTCATCACTCACCTACCCCCAAACATTTTCTTATATATAGGGTCTTTATGTAATATTCATTAATGCATCATGCAATGCAATATAATATTTTTTCATTCTCAAAATTTCTAACAAGAATATTGTTTCCAACTAAATTAACATAGCAATTTTCACACTGCATCACTCACAATAACTTCAAATCCACAAAGTTTAGGCAAAAACAATTCTAAAAAAAATTATTAACCAATGAATATTTTGCTCTTTACACTTTATGTATGTATAATAAAGAAAACTAAAAGCATAGGAAAAGTTTTAAAAAAGTACAAAATGTAATTATCTATAAAATTACGAAAAAAAAAAAAGAATAAGAAACCTAATCACTATAAATTAATAAATATCAAAATAAAAAAAATTTTGAAAATTTTTGGACTTCCAATAAAATTTCTGAAATATTCAACAGCCTAGCTTCCTACAAGACTAAAAACGCAATTTTAGGACCCTAAACAGTAGAATTTGAACAAAATTTAAAATAGCGGGTTTTTATTCATTAGTTCACTGTCAATCAATTCTTTATCATATTGTTACTTAATTTTAAACTAAATTAGTCATTATATATTAATTTCATCATATCACAAGAACTTTTTTAATACAAATATTATTTTATTAAAAAAAACTATAAAATGATATTATGTACCTGAAAATATTTCATCTTAAACTTCAGGACATCTAAAATATATGTCCCCAAATATCTTAGAAGTATCTAATTAAAGAACAAAAAATACAATATATATATATATATGTGTGTGTGTGAGTGTGTGCGCGCGCGCGCGTGCGCTTCATATCTAGCGCAGCTCAATACATAACATTTCACGCGTACATATCTTTTGCCACCAAATCTATCTATAATTTTGCATGTGGGCTCTGGGAAGTTATTAATTGGTAATACTAGAAAACAAGAAATGTACTGGAAACAGAGGTCTGAGAAGAAAGGAACCTACAATGACACCAGACCTGTTTCTGGGCTAAAACAAAGACCATTAACACAAATTGAAGGTCAGTGGGCACGAGGCCCCACAGAAACAAAAGCAATTAATGTGATTTGTGGACTATTTCACATTATATATATATACACCCAACGCAATACAGTGTATATATATATAATGCATGCGAAAGATCGTGCATTAAATGCATGCGAAATCGTGCATTAAATGCATGCATATTTCAAACAATTGTCAAGCCTCAATATCACACATTTGTCAAGAAATGAATGGTTTAAATCTTAAATCTTATTTTTTGTGATTTCATTTGCTTGACTTGTTAACATCTAATCTAACCAAATGGCACACTGTGCTGGTCTTGACAGTAGAGAACAATCTCGATTTGCCTGATTCATTGGAAAATTAATGGGTTCATAGTTGGGGCAACATGTGAACCTCAATCCGTAAATCAACATATAGTAATTGGGCTGGCATGACTAAATCCAATTATGTATAACACCATATATATATATTCAAAAGTGTAAAATACTAAATGTATATTATATATATAATGAATACGTATCTTTAATTTACTTTTTTAAATTATATATTTAATTAAAAATGAAAACTATATTAAATTTTAATTGAGAATAGTTTTTTTCTTTTTTATAATTTGTAGAATGGATTGAGGTTTTCATTCCCTATAATATACACTATACATTGAGAATAAATATATATATTTTTTTATCTTCATTTGATCAGTAAAAGAAATACATATATTAGAATTTTCTAACTTATGAGACATTAATTCCTAGAAAATGTAAAACAATCAACTCAAAGAGATAATACAATGGGTTTCCGGTGCCTCGTGCACCATACTTGTTAAATTCCAAATATGATTGTGAATACGAATGAACATGCACATTGTTCAAGTGACCAACCATGCCCAGATTGAACTTAGCAACCAAAAACCATGCCAAGCAACACTGTAGTAGGACTTGACTCCAGCTCTGTTTGATATACGCAATGAAAATGACTCTCATTTCATAAAGGTCTCTTTAAAAATCTAACTGGAGATCGCTTTCTGAAACCCTAAAAAGCGATATCTAGGAATAGAAAATGCAAAACCACGAACGCAAGTAAAAATGGGCTGTCTACACAAATTATAGCATGGAGTATTTGTTGAGAAGGAATGTTCCGACAAACTAAAAGGAAAACCATATAAAACAATTAAAGGACTGGAAGCAATCCCAGATGCTTCAGAAGCTGTAGACATTATGTACTTGATCACGCATGGTAGCCGAAGCTGGTCATGAGGATCTGTTTTCCATGAATTTCTCAACAAGGTTACTGAATCATTTTCTATGTTTTCTGCCGAGTATATTTAAACTCAGAATCCCTCTCGCATGAAGTTCTTGGAATGCAGAGTCACTATCTTTCTTGACAACCTTGTGAACCTCCCTAACCACCATTCCTGACGAGTGACAAGGCAGAGTTCAAGATTAATTACATAGTCCAAACTATAAAATTAAAAAAAATAATAATAACAAAAACACATACAATTAGAAACTGAGGGCAATCTAAATATACTGCATCTAATGTGTAATAGACAGTAACAATATGACAAATCAGAACTTAAAAGAGTTGGGATAAAAGATTAACCCAAACTACCGTAAATATCCAACACACATATATAACTAAAAATATCTTATGTAAAGAATTTTGGTTGTGAGCTCTTGCACTCAAACATGATCTCTCCATTGTCCTATGTTTTCCGCTGGTGCATCCAGCGGATAGCAGCCAATCTTCAATTTTAGTGATGATGTGGCACAATGCCATAAGCTAGGTCACCATCAAAAAATAGAGAACAGTGGATCGGATCAGTCTCCCTTGGACAGATGAATACACTAATGTTTTGTTCGGTTGGAAGGAAAGAAAAGGAGGAAAGAAAATAAGAAGGAAGAAACTTCCTTTGTTCGGTAGAGATAATACAAGGAAAAAAAGGATAATAGGAGGAATGTGTCATCCCTCCTCCTTTACAAATTTTCATCCGTCCAAAAATGGACGAAAGAGAGGAAAGAAGAAAAGTAAACTATTATAGAAGTTTTAAATTAAATACCATCCTAAATTACACAAGTTTTAAATTACAGTATTATCCTCTATAAATTACAATATTATATATATTACTGGATATAATGGTAAAAACAATTTAAAATTTTATCTTTCTCTCCCTCCTAAAGAACATAATAAATTGTGAGCTTATTCTCTTCTCTTCTATCCAACTGAAAAAAAAAATGGGAAGACACAATCTCTTACTTAGGTATGTCTCATCCATCCCTTCTTCTCTCCCTTCCATCCAATTTTTTTCTTACCTACCGAACGGAGCATAAAGCCATGGAAAAGGCTACAGCTTTCAGAAACATATCGAACGAAGACAAACTTATTTTGATTATAGAATAGAAGAGACAACAATAATGCTTTCTGTAATTATGAATCGGGAAGATAACTTAGGTTAATCAAAACGCTTAACACTAAGAGGATGTCGACAATTTGGGGTGGGACTAACCTGAGCAACCTGATTCCCTCCTGAAAATTTTACAAGAGTGGGCAAGGAGGGCATGGGATGGGACTGAGTTTAAACTTAAACCTCGAATTTATTTTGGGCGGGATTTGGGTAAAAGTTTTACTAACCCGAGGAACCAGAAGAACTTGAAATCTAAGAATAGTTTATAACATTTATATTTTTAAGGTTGCACATATTTAAATAAAATAAAGTTAAAATTAGAATATTTTTTTAAGTAAAAATGTATTAGAAAGCGTTCAAAAGGGAAACGCATCCCAAGAACTACACAAAGGCCGTAAGGGACCCTAAGGACCCAAGGAACCCAAAAAATCAACAATCACCTCTAAAGACGTACAATATCTACTCGAAACCCAACAAAAGAAAGAGCTAATAATAAAAGATTTTAGAACACCAATCGAAGATTCCTTTTCTTCATGATGCTCTGGTAACGGAGACTTTTTTTATTATCAAATGAAAGGGTGGTTCCACTCCCTCCACAAACACCACCAAAGACATTAGGGTGCCACCCTCCAAAAATTATGGGCGTGAGATCCCACAGAAGACCATCTCCAAGCATCCATCAAGCCTCTCGTGGATCTGGGCATAATCCACTGAACTCCAAAAAGGCCAAACAGAAGGCTCCAGCAATTATGAGCCACTAGACAATACAAAAGAAGATGATCAACTCACTCTCCATTACACTTGTGCACATGTAGCACCAATTAACAGTTTTCTCCTCCTCAGATTATTAAGCGGTCAAAATCTTGCCCCAAACCATTGTCCAAGCAAAGAAGGCCACCTTGAACGGAGCCTTAGATCGCTACACTGCTTTAACTCACATCGAACCTTCCCTAAGAAGAAGGCACTTAAACAAGGGAATCTGGACCTCCGCCGACAACCTCCAGTCTATATAAGAGCTCAAAAAATTCTAGAGACATCATCCAACTCCCAATCCTCCAGTCTCGAAAATCGGACATCCCAAGTCAACCTCCCGCTATCATGCCAATAGTAGTTGTTAGCATATATGATACCACGATTTATGGTTTGACTTACCATAATAGCATAGATTTGACTATGTATATGTTAACATATATGATAGCCACTATTTATGGAATGGAATGCTTACCATAATAGCAGAGATTTGACTATGCTATAAAATATGCTTTAGAATAAGTTCTGATTTGATTTAGTTTCCTTTCTTGTAGTATGAGCATGTGCTCATTTTATCTATAAATGCTAGAGCTGTGAATGAGTAATTCATATCATTCAAGCCTTTACGCAATTCTCTCATTTCTCTTCTTTTTATATTTCTACTTTGTATCAACGCCAACACCTTTCCACACCTTTCAGCAGCCTTGCTACTTGTGCGACAGCTACCTTAGGTTGTTTGTGACATCGTGTGACGTTGCCTACACATGTTTTTCTGTTTTGTTATTTTGTGATCGAAAACAGGTATTTTTAAGTTTTACAATTTCTTTTCTACTCTTCTAGGGTTGAGTAAATTGGGATAGTTGGTTTCCAACACCTAGAAGGGCTTGGGACAAAAAAAAAATTAGTCTACAAAGACGTTCCGAATATTAAGGAGGAGGCTATCCGGCTATATGTAAGCGGGCAGCATTCCTTAAAAAAGGTATGTATATGGATTTTTCGGGAATGGTCTGAGGAGATACTGTTATTGTTTATGGTCTGAGGAGACCTTTTGATTTATTAACAAAATTTGTGGTATTTTTGGAGTTTTTTTATTGTCGTGTGACAGATTATGGCAAATTCAGGGTCCTCGACTGTTAATTCTCTTGGCTCAAATTTTGTGGGTGGTGGTGCCATTTTTCCCACCAACTCATCAGAAAATTCAGGACTTCAAATTACCACAGTGAAGTTGGATGGTTCCAACTATTTGATTTGGGATCAGTCTGCCAAGATGTTCATTGGTGGTAAAGGCAAGATTGGCTATATTACTGGTTCTGAGAAAGAGCCAGCTGAGCCAAAGAAGGCATATTCACAGTGGTTTGCACATAACGCTATGGTTAAGTCTTGGCTAGTCAATTCGACGCAACCAAACATAGCTGTTGGCTATATGTTTATGAAGACTGCTAAGCAGATTTGGGATTCAATTCAACGCACTTATTCTCAGAGGCAGAATAATGCACGAATTTTCCACTTGGAGCGAGATATCACCAGGATTTCTCAGGGTGACTTGACAGTTTCAGGTTACATCGCCAAGCTTCGTGCTATTTGGGAGGAGGTCATATTATGATTCCTTCCACTCTTGGAAGGATCCAAATGATGCAGTTTTATATGCAGGAATTGTGGAGAAGAATCGAGTGTTTCAGTTTCTTGTTGGGTTGAACGACGTGTTTGAGTATGCTCGTGTTCATTTATTGGGCTTATCTTCATTCCTTACTCTTGAGGATGCATACTCCTATGTGTTGTCAGATGAGAGCCGCCGGACTCATCCATTAGGTGTTGCTTCTGTTGATCGTTCTGTTATGGCAGTTTGGATTCCCAACCTTACAGGAACTTCACCATCCCAGTCAGTTCAGAGCACTACCACCAGTCCTCCTTTGGGACCAAACATAGCTGTTGGCTATATGTTTATGAAGACTGCTAAGCAGATTTGGGATTCAATTCAACGCACTTATTCTCAGAGGCAGAATAATGCACGAATTTTCCACTTGGGGCGAGATATCACCAGGATTTCTCAGGGTGACTTGACAGTTTCAGGTTACATCGCCAAGCTTCGTGCTAATTGGGAGGAGATGTCATATTATGATTCCTTTCACTCTTGGAAGGATCTAGATGATGCGGTTTTATATGCAGGAATTGTGGAGAAGAATCGAGTGTTTCAGTTTCTTGTCAGGTTGAACGACGAGTTTGAATATGCTCGTGTTCATTTATTGGGCTTATCTTCATTCCTTACTCTTGAGGATGCATACTCCTATGTGTTGTCAGATGAGAGCCGCCGGACTCATCCATTAGGTGTTGCTTCTGTTGATCGTTCTGTTATGGCAGTTTGGATTCCCAACCTTTCAGGAACTTCACCATCACAGTCAGTTCAGAGCACTACCACCGGTCCTCCTTTGGGACGGCAACGCGGACGATGTGACCATTGCGGAAAAATTGGTCACATCAAATCTCGTTATTATGCTCTAAATGGATGCCCACTGCAACAGAAACAACAGCCTCGATCCTCTGCACATTCTGTTACACAACCAATCTCATTGTCAACTCCTAACAACCCTGCCTCTACATCTTCTGCCACAGTTACCTTAACTCAAGCTGATTTGGACAAGTTCAAGCAATTCTTCAACCAAATGAAGGCATCATCTCAGCCAACCTCCACTTATGCCCACTAAGGTACTATTGTGTCTGCACATAGCGTATCTACATCTTCGACGCCATGGATCATTGAATCTGGTGCTTCAGACAATATGACTAGTATGTCCTCACTCTTCCAATCTTATAGTATCTGCTCTGGCCAACGCAAGGTCCGCCTTGCAGATGGCTCTCCATCTTCTATTGCTGGGAAGGGTCACATATCATTTATTCTTTCATTAACTTTGTCAAATACAATTCATGTTTCAAAGTTGACTACAAATCTTATTTTTGTTAGTAGCGTTACCAAACAATTAAATTGTAGTGTAACTTTCTTTCCCTCTCATTGTATTTTTCAGGATCTGGTGTCGAAACGGACGATTGGCAGTGGGCGTGAAGTGGATGGTTTATACCTGTTGGATGCTCCTTTGTCACCTCAAGCACATTCAGCTTCATTTTCTAATATTATTTCATCTAATAAAGCCCAACTTATGCGTTGGCACGTGCGTTTAGGACATATTTCTTTCGGTTATTTGAAACATTTATTTCCTTCCTTATTTTGTAACGTGGGAGTGTCAGATTTATCCTGTTATACATGTCATATGGCTAAACATGTTCGTTCCAATTATCCTGCTAGCACTAATAAATCTGCTTTAACACCTTTTGATCTTGTTTATTCAGATGTGTGGGTTCCTTGCCCAGTTACTTCTAGTCTTGGATTTCGATATTTCGTGTTGTTCATTGATGATCATAGTCGTGTTACTTGGGTTTATCTTATGAAAACCAAAAATGAGGTATACACCATTTAAAAAAATTTTATGACAATGGTTCAAACTCAATATGGTCGTACCATTAAAAAATTCAGCTCTGACTGGAGTACAGAGTACACTTATGGGGAGGTACAACGGTTATGTACAGAATTTGGGATTGAGCATCAGATGGCTAATGTTAAAACTCCTCGATAGAATGGTCGTTCTGAGAGAAAAAATCGCCACATCCTTGACTTAGCCAGAGCAATCTGCATTGGCATGAATGTTCCCCAGTCATTTTGGGGAGATGCAGTTCTTACTGCTGTTTATATCTTTAATAGGACTCCTCCTAGTGTTACAGATGCACTAGCACAACCTCAATGGCGTGATGCTATAACAGAAGAACTACAAGCACTTAAGAAAAATCAGACTTGGGACATGGTTCCGAGTCCTGTTGGACGAAAGGCTGTGGGTTGTCGTTGGATGTTTACAGTTAAGCATAATCCAGATGGATTAGTTGCTCGTTACAAGGCCCGATTGGTCGCCAAGGGTTATGCTCAGACTTATGGCATAGATTATCAGGAGACTTTTGCCCCTGTTGCCAAGATGAATACCATCCGTGCATTATTTTCCGTTGCTGCAATTCGATCTTGGCCTCTATTTCAGTTATATGTCAAAAACGCCTTTCTCAATGGTGATTTGCAGGAGGAGGTGTACATGGTTCCTCCTCCAGGCTTTCGTTCTCCTGCTCGTTCTGGTATGGTTTGTCGTCTTCATCGTTCTTTATATGGCCTCAAGTAGTCTCCTCGAGCTTGGTCTGATCGCTTTGGCATTGTTATGCTCAAGTTTGGTTTCCATCAAAGTGCAGCTGATCATACCTTGTTTTTACGTCATTCAAACGGTAAGACAATTGCTCTCATTGTGTATGTCGATGATATTGTTCTTAACGGCGATGATACTACAGGAACTGATGAGGTTAAGAGCTATCTTGGCCGTCAGTTTGAGATTAAGGATCTTGGTCCCCTACGGTACTTCTTGGGCATTGAGGTGGCTTGCTCCAAGACTGGCATTTTCATCTCTCAACGTTAGTATGTTCTTGACTAGTTTTCTGCTTCTGGTCAGCTTGGCGCTCGTCCTGCTGATACTTTGATTGAGCAGAATCATCGGTTAACTGATTCTGAGGGGGAGTTGTTGTCAGATGTTGGTCAGTATCAACGACTTGTGGGGAAGCTCATCTATTTATCCATGACTCGACCTGACATTGCTTATGCCGTGAGTGTCGTGAGTCAATTCATGCACTCTCCACGTGCCCCTCACCTTGATGCAGCTATTTGGATCCTTCGCTACTTAAAAAGGTGTCTAGGCTGTGGTATTTTGTTTGCCAATCATGGTCACTTACGTGTTGAGGCTTGGACAGATGCTGATTATGCAGGATCAATTTCAGATAGGAGGTCAACTTCGGGTTATTGTACCACTATTGGTGGTAACTTGGTTACTTGGCGCAATAAGAAGCAGGATGTTGTCTCTCGATCTAGTGCAGAAGTAAAGTATAGGGCTATGGCTCTTGGGGTAGGTGAGTTGCTATGGCTGAAAACCTTGATGACAGACTTGTGCCTTCCAGTGTTGCTTCCATTCTCACTCTATTACGACAACAAGTCTGTCATTAGCATAGCAGCAAATCCCGTTCAGCATGACAGGACTAAGCATATAGAGGTGGACCGTCACTTCATTCGAGAGAGGATCATCTCTGGTCAAATTTGCACTCCATTTGTCACAAGCTCTCAGCAGCTTGCAGACATTCTTAGAAAGGGCGTCAGCAAGATTGTGTTTGAGAATGCATTGTCCAAGTTGGGCATTTCAGATATCCACGCACCAACTTGAGGGAGAATGCTAGCATATATGATACCACGATTTATGGTATGACTTACCATAATAGCAGAGATTTAACTATGCATATGTTAGCATATATGATAGCCACTATTTATGGAATGACTTACCATAATAGCAGATATTTGACTATGCTATAGAATATGCCATAGAATATGCCTTAGAATAAATTGTGATTTGATTTAGTTTTCTTTCTTGTAATATGAGCATGTGCTCATTTTATCTATAAATACTAAAGCTATGAATGAGTAATTCATATCATTCAAGCCTTTACGCAATTCTCTCCTTTCACTTCTTTTTATATTTCTACTGTAGTCAACAACCAAGGCATGCCTATCAACAACAATCCTAAAAAGCCTGGGAAAGTAACAAGCTAAAGGGTAGTCTCCACACCAAAGGTCCTCTCAAAAACGAATGCCTCCACCACCCTAAGCTTCGAATCTGATATGTTTGGAGAATTCATTCCATCCCTTTCAAATGAATTTCCAAACGCCAACACTTCCTGGAGTCCTAACCGCAAGAGAGCACCAACCCCCTCTCCTCCCCAAAACGGCACAAGATAACCCTCCTCCAAAGCCTCTAGTGCTCAATGCCAAATCCTTAAAACCCGTGTGGTGTGGCGCGGGCTAAGATGTGATGGGTTTCTCGGGGGCTAAGGTATTAGAACCTTGGGTTTGGCATGGGCTAACCCCTTCGCCTGTCCAATCCGCCCAAGTCCCACCCCTATCGGCAATATGATGAAAAGATTACATCAAAAACTTCAAAAGCAATAAACCGAAAAACAGTAGAAACAAATTAGAACTTGTAGATTTCTGCAGTTTTTTTTGTAGCTCCTATGTGGGGAAAGGAGGGAGGGGGGAACTAGTTTCAGATTCAGAAGGATAAAGTCACAAGAAATTGTAACCATGGCCAAGGATGTGGATTAAATCATAATTTTTTTTGACTAACTTGATCACTGGACTCTCTGGAGCAGTTTATCCACCATAATTTTTTGCTGCACCCCACTCAAGGACTCGGAATTCATGATCGCATTGGATACAAGGATAGGTGTAGATGGAGATGCAGCATTTACCTACAAAGACAATAAAAAGATATATACATTAAGAAAGCAGTAGAATCAGTAAGAATTCACTTTTTAGAATTAAGAGAAGTCGAACTATAGTACTAAAAGCAAGTTAGCAAGAGTAATCACATCTAGACAGCTTGTGGCTCAGCCCCAGAAAGGGATTTTAAAGCCTTAAAGAAGTAATGAGGACATGGTGATTCCATTGAAACATCCAAAATGAAGAACCGCTTTAACCTACAAATAAGCACCCAAAAATTCATACCCAAACACGGCCATTTAAACCAACTGCAATCTCAAAGGAGAGCTTTTTGCCTAGAGCCTCAAGAGCTGGACATGCTGGGGAGCTCAACAGCCTAGAAATTGAAAATAAAAGCTCGTTAAAACTGAAAGGAATTTTCAAACTTCAACTCACTCTATACAGTATATTTGCTATCCAACAGAGGACAGATATGTACTGTGGAAATTCTAACACTTCTATAGATTAAAAAAGAGGGGAAAAGAATCAGACATCCGTGAAAGGCCAGTTGATGATTCAAACATATATCCATCTTTAAGGGGGCCAAACTCTGCTGCTTTCCCATTGGCTGTGAAACAATAGGAATGTTTATTTATAAATTACAGGTCAAGTGAAAGTCTACCTTCAGATACAACAACAATTTTCAAATGAGGAAATAGGCAAGTGGCTTCGTATGCAAGGTAGATGCAATGGAACCACAAGTCCAAATAAACTAACCATCAGTGCATGAAAGCTCCGGATTCATGCCAGTGTTTGCCTTGACAACCCGAAGATAAAGTAAAGTACCTACCTGCAAGATGAAGCTTAAGCCAACAGAAGCTTTGAAATTCAAAAGAACAAATTAATGAATGACGAAAATTATTAACAATAGAAGCAACAACATATGTACTAAATCAACACAAGATATTAAGAATTCACAATAAGATGTCGCAGATACAGATTAAACTATTACCCATAAGAAGTGCTCTGCCAGAAATGAGTGTTTCAATCATATTATATACCAAAATAGAAAATAAATGTTAAAGAAGAGATTGATGAGAAGATGTAGTTTAGTCATATTGGTTTTAATGCCGTTTCATTGAACTCATAGGAGAGCATAGTCACCTCGACACAGCAAAAGTGGCCCATAAAAATTTAAGCCATCCACCTTCAACACAGAAATGAGGGCAGGCCTTGGCAGAACAGTAAGATTTCTCCATTGTCCATTGTGACCTAGAGGTCATGGGTTCAAAAAGGGAGACACACTCCCCACATATGGAGGTAAGGTTGTGTACATCCGACCCTCCCAAGACCCGCAATGAAGGGAGCCTCTTGCATTTGGCTAGGTCTTTTCTACCTCCAACATAGAAATGTAAAATACATTGCTCGTCAACAAGCAAGTGCCAAGCACAGGATGTGTATTAACAAGATAGGATACACCAAACAAGCATAAGCAAATTTTACACTCGGCTTAATAAAAAATATCAAAGTCCTGGGAACTTCTTTGAATAAGGAAGGATGTGTAATAACAAGATAGGATACACCAAACAAGCATAAGCAAATTTTACACTCGACTTAATAAAAAATATCTAAGTGCTGGGAACTTCTTTGAATAAGGAAGGATGTGAAACAACTGCATTATTTACACCCGCTAATGATAGATGCATACTGCTTCTTTGGATATGATAGTAGATAAGCATATAATCTCTAGATAATTGTGACATTCTACCATTATAAGGTAATTGGAATGAGTACAATCTAAATCCCTTAACGAGGATCCATTGGAGGGCAAGTCGGGTGCCAGCAGCCGCGGTAATTCCACCTCCGATAGCGTATATTTAAGTTGTTGCAGTTAAAAAGCTCGTAGTTGGACCTTGGGTTGGGCCAACTGGTCCGCCTTCCGGTGTGCATTGGTCATCTCGTCCCTTCTGTCAGCGATGCTACAATCCAATGTTTTCAATTTGAAGGACATTTTTTGTTGAACAAAGGGAGAATGATTGTACTGTTTCCAGACCATGGCCAAGAAGAATCCCTGTTTTCAATAGATTTGCGCTTTCAAGCGATTTGTTTCTAGATGTTTGCTTTAGGATTTAGCATTAAACAATCATTATGCTATTTATCATTTTAAATGAAGTAGGTTTTACAATCCAATCATGGATAACAACAAACACAAAATTGGGATGAGACGATCATTAAAAATGCATCTTAGGTGCTATGACACAAGTTAAAATTGCAAATTACTCAGCATATCTGGAGTAGCAGTCAACAAAATTAAAAATAGCATAAAGACTATATAACAGACATATCGTGTCAAAAGTTTACAAAAATCATACAACAAAAACAAGATTGGGATGGGACGACCGTTAAGAAAGCATCTTCAGGTACTATAACACAAGTTAATATAGTGAAGTACTCAGCTTCTCAGGAGTCGCAGTCAACAAAACTTAAAATAGCATAATGGCATAATTCAAACGATAGTAAACATATATTAAAATTGTAGTGGTTGAACCTCAAATTTAGGAATGTTTCTCCTAGTTCCTCCTTCAAATGCAAGTACAGGAAGAAATGCCAATGCAGGTCCTTTTATATCCACAAGGAAGTTCTGCAATGAAAGAAACAAGAAATTTTTCGAAGTTGACACAAGCATCTCTAGTTTTTAGGTAGTAAAATATAAAATTCACATCTAACAGTAACATAAATTGACATACTATAAAGTAGAAGCTGGGACAAGATCATGGCAACCACCCCCCCACCCCACCCCCAAGAAGTAGAAGAAGAAAAAGAAGGGGTTTGAGTTTTGGGTTGGGGCCCGGGGGTGTGAAAGTCCCATCATTATACAATTTCTCTTCAAAAGTACAAATAACTACCAAATGCAGACAAACAGAGATAATAAAAGGCCACTATCGACTGTTGCTTAGAGCATGGCTTGGGTCTGATACTTTGTACAACACTCAAGGTGCATTGGATGTTTGTCGATATAAATTTGGATAGGCATGCAGAATGAAGATGTAATGTAGGCGATCTCCAATATTCTTTGCAGACTTGAGAATTGAAGCATGCAGTTTTATTATTATTATATCTCACATGACACCTCCTCCCCCTGCAGTTTTTTATTTTCTTCAGAGAAAGCACATCTGTACATTACAGATCTCATGTTCACAAATGTACACGTAGGGAAGCGTCCACTCTCCCAAACGTAAGGTTAAAACAATACTGCATTCGGTAATATGATTTTTCACAATACCTTTACAAGGGGAAAAATGGAAAAGGAAGTCCTCAAATGCATACATAAGCCTTGAGATGCTCAGTGTTAATCTCACAATTAATTTCTCTTGATACTAATCAAAATAAACAAAAAATAAAAAAATTTCCTCTTAATACCATAGCTGCTTCTCTTTCTAATTACTAGACTTGTTACAAGCACTAAATCCAAATTCATTTTGAAGACGGCTTCTTTACTCAGCTTCGAAGCCCTGACAACAAGTTGTATCAGAAACTTCGGAGGGTTCTGCACTTTGGTAGGGTACTTGGAAGGAGAAAACATAGATGAAAGCTGCAGCTTGTATGCAACCTTAAAAGGTTGTTGCCCTATCAATCAACTAGGGGTGCTAGGAGGGGTAGGTTAGATATAGACCTATCCCCTGATTTTGCACAAAGTGGTTATACCGAGACTTATATCTGCATTTTCACCTTAACATTTTTTTAAAATAAATGACCTACCCCTTTACTTTAGTTTTGGTGTTTTCATTTTGCAAATTAACACTTTGCAATAGAATTAAATACAATTTTTTTTACCAAAATGGCAAAGAATCCTATTAATCAAATAGAATACTGAGTAAGATTAAGTAAACCTAATTACAATGGTATTCAAGGTCTTTCTTCACAAGGAACAGTCATGTAATTTCTATTTTCTATCTAAGGAGAGTTCAAATTTTTATCATGCTTACTTCAACCTCTTAATATTGTCACCTCGGATACTTAACATTGTCACCTTCTCTGAGACTCTTCCCTCAATAAAATGAAAGGATGTTTTGGGTATTTTTGTAAGTTGATAACTCATATCTGCATTTTCACCTTAACATTTTTTTAAAATAAATGACCTACCCCTTTACTTTAGTTTTGGTGTTTTCATTTTGCAAATTAACACTTTGCAATAGAATTAAATACAATTTTTTTTACCAAAATGGCAAAGAATCCTATTAATCAAATAGAATACTGAGTAAGATTAAGTAAACCTAATTACAATGGTATTCAAGGTCTTTCTTCACGAGGAACAGTCATGTAATTTCTATTTTCTATCTAAGGAGAGTTCAAATTTTTATCATGCTTACTTCAACCTCTTAATATTGTCACCTCGGATACTTAACATTGTCACCTTCTCTGAGACTCTTCCCTCAATAAAATGAAAGGATGTTTTGGGTATTTTTGTAAGTTGATAACTCAAAAATAATTTGGAGGTTGAGATTAAGTTTGCAAGGAAAAAGATCAGAAATGAGATGTTGAGCTTTTTGCTTGTTGAGTAATGTCAAAATTCATACCCACGTTATTGCAATACAGAACGAAACAGCAGATCAATGTAATAAATGCTACTTTAGTATATTATATGAAACAGCAGTATCAAATTGTGCATTACAGAAATGCACTAGCCAGAAACATATCACGAATTTATAATAATAAAGAACCTAAACAAATAGTTATTAGTTAAAAGTGGAACTAAAGCTAAAAACAGAAGAAGGTTTTACCAAAAACTGATACTGAAGAAGTAATAACACTAAACCAACTATATTACAGTATTGCAGTACACGGAAGCACTTACATCTGCTTTGGTGTCTACCACGATTCCAAGAACAGTATCCCCAACACAAGGCAAGTACTGAAAAAGAACATTCAAGCAAATTACAATATTAATCCATAAAAAAGAAAGCATATAATTAGAATTAATTAATGCCACAAATGAGAGAATAGATAACAGCCTTATTCATTATTTTTACTGAATAAAATGAATTAAAACAAAATTATTGTAAAACCGTACTGCAGTATATAAAAAAGCCCAAAATGCACTCAATCTTGCATGCAGACCTATAAAATCATGAAAAAATTAACAATAAACAGCTAAAGGAACCAATGACGATTGATGAGCAATACATAAAATACATGAAGTAAGAGAACCAAAAGAAAAAGGCTTAAAACAACTAAAACGATAAAATGTAAACCTACAAATATATATATATATATATAGGGCTAAGCAAAACAAATTAAAATTAGTAGAACAACATAACTGTGAACTTAGCAATATACATATTTATTTATCATATTAGAGTTGGATGTGTCTTCATGCAGAACAAAGAGAAGGAAATGTTATCACTGAAGCTTTACCATAGGGGGCAGCAAGTAAATCCAGTAAAAAGATTTTTTAGACAGGTAAATCCATATAAAGAAAAGATAACTGGGAATATATATATATATATATACATATATATATATATATACATATGCTAAAAATATATGATAGTCCTTCCATTGGGTATGCCTTCGAAGAGAGTAGCGGCATGGGACCCAGTTACTAAGGCCATCTCTAATGGTAAAAGCTATTTTCGCATGCCAAATCTATATTTTGACAGGTGCTACAGTGTCAAAATGTTACATTATAGCAATTCTGCTCTAATGGTGCATTTCATGCAAAATGCTATTTTTTTATACAACTACCATTTTTTTTCAACTACCATTCCCACAATTCATATTTGCATCAGTAATATTAATATTAGGCATATTCCAAGTCAAGTTGTAGACATTAAAAGGAAACTAAAATTAAACATAATTAAAAAGAAGCAAATATCTAAAATATCTGGTCAAAAAAGGACCAAAAAAACAAATTTTTTATAATTTTTTTACCACTATTTGTGAATTAATTTTTTTTTTCTTTTTCGGAAATTTATATATATATTTTATATATATATATATATATTTATATTATATATATTTGATTATATTATTATTAAATATATATATATTTTTAGGGCGAATCATTTCAGCCTCCCCAATCGCCTCCATCTCTATTCTCGTTCTCAACTCTCAGAACTTGCCCTCTCTCTCTCTCTCTCTCTCTCTGCAAGTGCTAATCAAGGTCTGTAAGGGACGAGAAAATACAAAAATCAAACAACAGAAGCAGGAGGTGGTGTTCATTGCCTTTAAGCGCCGATCGCCGTCGATAATGGCCGGTCGTTACAGATGGATGAGAGAGAGAGAGACGGTCGTTGCAGATAGATGAGAGCGAGAGAGAGTGAGACGGCAGGTAACAAAATAAGGCAAATTGCTATTGCTATTTGTTTTGTTAGATTTTGCACAAAAAATGGCAAAGGCAAATTTTGGCAGGCCATATAGCAACCCATTGGAGAGCCCAATTTTAACCCACCTGTTATATTTTGAATTGGCAACCCCATTGGAGATGCTCTAAGAGGTTTAAGAGGCTTGCAGGATGGAAGATACAATAGGTGTCAAAAGGAGGCTGCTTACTTCAATGAAGAGTACGTTATCGAATATGCCTACTTATTTTCTATCCTTGTTCCAGATTCCATCTTCGGTGAGGCAGAGGATTGAGAAGTCCCAACAAAAATTCCTTTATGCTCCGTTTGGTTGGAGGGATGGAAAAATGGATGAAAGGGAGAGGGGAAGGAATGGATGAGGCATCCTTAGGGAAGGGAAGGTGCCTCCTTTACTTTTTGTTTGGTTGGATGTAATGGATAGTAGAAATGATGGATGGAGTAACTTTTTTTTTTTTTTTTTTTTTTTTTTTTTTTTTTTTTTTTTTCAGTTGGAAGGAAAAAAGAGTTTTTATATTCTTTTTACCAATATACGCTCATTATATAAAATTATAAAAATTACATATTCATTTCAATTTTTTCGGAAGGTTAAAAATGGAAATTACATATTTGTGGTAATTATCCATTCTTTCTCTCTCATCTTGCCCACAATTTTGGGCGGATAGAAAAATACAAGGCAAGGAGGGACGAAGCATCTGTCCTTGTTTCCTCCCTCTTTTCCTTTCCCTCCAACCAAACACGAAAAACTCCTTTTATCCGCCCTCTCATCCATCTCTCCTCAATCCTTCCCTCTAACCAAACATAGCATTAGGGAGGGGATGGGGGAGGAGTTCAAGTACCATCTCGTGAATTGGGATTAGGTGTGTAGGCCAATTTAGATGGGAGTTTGGGGGTTTAGAGGCTCACTGCTTTCAATAAAGACCTGTTGGGAAAGTGTCTATGGAAATTTAGGATGGAGAGGAGCAAGTTTTAGAGGTGGGTTATTTGCATGAAGTTTGGACTTTGGAGAAGATACGGGTGGTTGGTGTTCTTTAGAGGTGAGGGGTCCGAAAAGGGTTGGGCTTTGGAAATTCATCCGTAAGGGTTGGGATGAGTTTTCGAAGCACATTCGATTCAGGGTGAGGAGGGGCAGGAATATCCATTTTTGGGAGGACCATTGGTGCGGGGACCAACCTCTAGCTTGCACCTATCTGAGACTTCTCAGGATTGCGATGGACAGGAAGGCCTTGGTTGTTGACCGCTACCGTCTTCATAGCATCCTCCTTTTGACACATATTGTATCTTCCATCCTGCAAGCCTCCTCTTAAACCTCCTAGTAACTGAGTATCAGACTTCAAATTCCGCAGAGCATACATTTGTGGAACCATAAGGGGCCATTGCTTGGTGCGGTGGTTAAAATAGTGGCTTACAATCTGGAGAAAGGAGGTTCAACTCCAAGGACAACCAGTTTCTGCAAATAATACCAAAGTTTAAGTCTACCAGTCTAACCCTTCTAGCATCCTCAGTTAACAAGGACTACAGTGGGTAATTGACTATTTTTAGAACCATAAGTTTAAGTACCTATCAGTCACATCCATAGATAGATTGCTAAAAGGATATCTATTAACAAGCTTCAAATCATTTTTTAGGATATAGAATATTTGATGAAAGGGAAGAAAAAAGAATATAATGCAAAATATTGGGGAAGAGAACATATAAAACAATCACTGAGAAATAAGAGCAAAGGCTCTGAGTTTGGTAGAATATAAAGAAACAAAGATTCAACTTCGAAAAAATTGAAGAAGACAACCCGATAAGAAGCATTGGCAGGATATGAAGAAACAAAAATCCGACCTTGAAAATATTGCAGAAGACAACCCATGGGAAGCAAACTTGAACAATGAGTCAAAAAATCTCTTGACAGCAACCCGCCAATCAGATAAGATACTTGCATCCATATTCACAAATCTTCCACCCTCAAATAAGACTTGAAAGAGCACAGCTAAGCTATGCCTCCAAGAATCTTGACCGTCCATTTTTTCCAATGAGATAATTGCAGAAAACTTATCTCCACCAAAAGGCGTCTAAAATTGAACGCTATAGAAAATGAAAACCACCAAGAAGGGCCATGCATTCCACATATACAAATCTTATAATTCAATTCAATTTCACCAATTTTTTACACAAATCACCAGATGAATCCTATGTTCTAAGGAATCTTAATTAACGCTTGCAACAGGAACTCCATTCAGAAACAATTCCAGGATGGAGCTCAACATACAAAAGAGAAAAAAAAAAAAAAAAATTCCAGGATATCAATTTACTATATGAATCAAATAAGACAATGTCCACAGTCAGTCACGATTTAGCATCTCCCCAATACCACCCATCCACTCATCCTTATATTACCTAAGTTTAACCAAATAATTGCAAGAAACTAAAACAGGGTCAAAATATCCTTTAATTTTGAATGAAATATATATTAATTAGATACCAATGTGACAGAAGATCCTATAAGCCACTGAATAATATGTTCTGTTGATATATGGAAAAGGCACACTTCGGCAAAACTACAGGACATCAAACAAGGATATGGACACACGTCGAAGTGTGCATGTTTTTATGTATCTGACATGACTTCTCAGAAGATAGTTATTTATAACTCAACTACTTGGAGTGCATAGATACATTTTTGTCGCTTTAGTTGATCTAGGGAATTTCTCAAGCTATATAATTACAGTAACTAGAGGCCCAATCAAAGTCCTATTTGTCTGTCTGAATTACTTATCAATTTCTTTTTGATAATAGACGCGAATTTCTCCCTGTATTTTAACCAATTGCTCCTGTAATTTGTTTAACTTTTCTTATGAAGCCGTGTTCTTTCCTGAATTTCAATTTAAATTAAACAAGTTGAAGGCCAAATTTTCTACAATTCAATTTGATGATCCAATCTTACTATAAATTCATTAAATATCTGCAAATATTTGGCAACTCAGAGAACCACAATCTGAAGCACTGTTTATATTTAATTACAAAGATGCACATCTTTCCCAACTGCAATGACCCACATTCAAACTGGATTCTTATTAAACCCTCAATAATGGTGCAGTTTGAAGGCTGATCCACCACTACATCCCATGTTGGAGTTTCCAAGAAATACTTCAGAGGTGAATCATCATGAGCCACATGATGCCGTTGGAGATATTCCAAAGAAGTCAAGTGATGGAACGTGCAGCACACTGACAACAACAATGCTGCCAAATGGTGGATCAACTGCATCTTTCTTTAACATGGCTGATCTTGAAGGAAAGAGTACGATGGCTAGCAAGGACAATAAGAACCTGCTTGATGATGAAACGTACAACACTGATCATCTGGAAGAGTATGAAGAAAATGTCTCCTCCATCTCCGTTGTAAAGCAAATCCTTGAAGACCCTAAAGTTGATGGCGAAGATGGGCAACTCACATCTAATTTTCAGATGCAATTTCATTGTGGAAACCAATCTTAGAAGCCTATTATTGATGGCGGTGGCAGCCCAAATGTTGTCTCCACAGCCATGGTTAAGCGCTCAAACTTTCAACAGCCCAAATCCTTGAAGACCCTGAAGTTGAAGACGAAGATGGACGGCTAAACTCTAATTTTCAGATGCAAGAACATTATGGAAACCAAGCTCAGAAGCCTATTATTGATGGCAGTGGCAGCCCAAATGTTGTCTCCACAGCCATGTTTAAGCGTCTCAAATTTTCCATCAAACCATATCCACAACCATTCAAAGCGGTTTGGATAGATAGTACTTCTATTCCGAATCTGCCAAAAGATACGGCTATTGAAGTAGATACTTGGTGTATATTAGTGGGCACTGCAAAGAAATGGGAGCATGCTTGTGCCAAGAAGCAACAGAAGCTGGTTCAAACATCCACCAACTTGGTAGATGAGGTCAGGAAAAACCAACTGCCAGAAGAAACTAATCCTGTAAGTGATAAGCTAGAGGGGTCTCGCGCATCAAACGAGCATTTTAGCGAGTTAAGTTTTCCTACTATTTCATTAGTTGGTCCTAATGCAGCAATTATGCATTATAAACTAGAGGAGAAAACATGTTTAGGACTTGATCCTAACAGCATTTGTCTATTCGATTCAGGAGCACAGTAACTAGATGGAACCAACTGGGTTGCTCTTTATGTTCTTGGTCGAATACATTCGTGGAAGGATAGCCTTGATTTTCGATATGGTACTGGCCATGGAGTTGGTATCAGAGGTGATGGGTCAGATACTGATTTTGTTCTGGGGTTGCCTAGAACTAGTCGAGGACATAATGCTATAATTATTGTTCTGGACCATTTTTCGAAAAAGGCGCATTTCCTTCTATATTTTAAGACCTCCAATGTTGTCCACAATGCCAAACCTTTTTTTCAAGTTGTCGTCCAACTTCATGGGTTGCACAACACCATTGTTTCTGATCGAGCTCTGAAGTTTATGCGTTGTTTTTGGTGCAATTTATGGAAATTGTTGAATATAAGGCTGAAATTTTCTTGCTCTTTTCACACTTATGAGCAATTTCATCCCTTTAACTCGTCGGAGCCGAGTTTTTCCAAGCCGGAGAGAATTGATAGAGAACAGTGGCAGCAGCTTTTTAAAATGTATAAAAGGCGTGGGAAAGAGGATTCTAGAGCTTAAACCTTAATTTGGCACATGCTAGACGATGGGGGGTCCACTTGGAGTCTTGCATAATTAGGGGGTTTGGTCAAAATGCATTATTTTGGTAATTGCATTAATTATGGTGAAATTGCATTGTTTTGGCAAATTGCATCAATTAAGTTATTTGCTACTTTATTAAGCTAGAGTCAACTTTTGATTACCTCCATAGTAGGGTAATCCAAGGGTCAGATACTATGTAATTCTGATTACTCAATGAATGAATAAAAATATCCTTTGAGGTTTCTTTGTGAGTGATACACAAATTCTGAGGGAGTGAGGCCTTCTCTAGGTGTGATACCTAGGCCCCCTGTTGGAGTGATTCCAATACCTTTTTTCTTGTTTTCAATCCTTTCTTTCTACCAATCTGTTTATTTGAATTTCCACCCACTTCTCCTTTGTTTTTCTACATTTCTAATATCGAACCTCCAAATTTCAGCCCTAGTTCTTTGGACTTTCAGCCTCTGAACTCTTTAGTTCTTAACTATTTAAGGCTTCTCCCTTGTTCTACATCAAGCACCTTCAATTCAAATAACACTTCTCTTTATTAGTGCAATCTTTATTTGCATCAAACTAGGCTTTTTCTCATATTGTTCTTGAATGATACTCTATAAGTTTTTAATTGAGACAGATTTCTTATTACAACCCTTTTTTTTTTTCTTTTTCTTTTTTTGCATAAATTATCATCCATCTCATTGTAACTTCAATGCTGCATGAATGCTTAAAACTGAAACGCTTGACATGTCAAATTCCTTAGCAACTATAAGCAGGTCTCATGCTTTTTCATCCCAATAATGCAATTGCAGCATATTTTACAAGAAGAACAGCCTCAAAACTATAAAATATCAAGATCAAATAAATGACATGATATACAATGGCCTATCAGCTTCAGGAAACATGTTCAATTCAATGATATGACTGAACATGCTTCCAAATAACTAACTTATACATGTAAAAGCACGCTTCATAGTGACTGGTTTATATATAAAAAAGCATGCTTCATTTTCCTTTTCCTTTAGTCATTACAATAGTGTTCAGCAACACCCACATTTGAGGAATAGCAATTAAATTCCGCATGTCTTAATTTTCCAAAGTTGAGATTAAAACTATATAAAGCATAACTCTAAGGTAAAACTAAGAATTCTTAGAATGTACTTGACATGAGGCAGACAACATTCAGATTATATAATTCCAATAGCAGCATGGGAACAAATAAATAAAGCATAGCATCCTTTTCACGGCTTGATAAAAATTAGCAATGTACTCACCCTTTTCTGGGAGCTTTCAATCCAATATTTGTTTGGCTTTGAATACCTCAACTTCCCAGCCTTCATGACAGAAATTGAATCACAGTCCTGAAAGATTCAGGTACACAAGAAGAATGTTAGTGATCATCTTGTTAAGGCAAAGGAAAAGAGAAGATTTAGCAAGGGAATGAAAAATGTAACAGAGTCGCGATAGACAACGGTTATAAACTAATAAAAAAATATACATCTCGTGTTCAAATTGCTCTGGCCATGAAAATCACCATCTTAGATCGCAGCTTGAATAAAGGACTTAATGAATTAAGTATTAACTTAAGTGAATTTATTATCAAGTTAAATATTAAGTTAAGAACCATCAGTTTGTGAAAACCAAAGCTGCCAATCTGTTGCTAGAGAGATTATATGAAGCCATTAAAGAGTCGAGCAAGAGAAGACAGCACAATAATTAGGTATCTAATAATGCAGTAAAATAAATACTTGAACAATCATGTTCCAACAAGAATGCCTTCTAGGAAATGTAGTACATGCAGAAACAAAACTCGTAAATCTGATATGTGGAGCCCTAATGCTCCATTTGGCTTCTAAGAAAGAAAACCGAAGAGTGTTCATGTGTTTGTTGCACAACACAAGGCTAATTTAAATTTGAGCAATTGCGGGCCTTCCAAGCTTATGCACTTCAACCCTTCTCCCCAACCGATCTTTTATATATTTGTTTTCTCCTCCAACCAACTTGACTCTATTGTTAACATAGTCTCATTCCAAATGTCAGATTCTTTTATTTTAGGGCTAATTTCACTGACACCCCCTCAAGTTTGGCCAAATGTCACATTGAAATATCTTTCGAAAATAACTATCACTCATATTACAAACATTTGGTCCGTTTTTCACTTACAGTCCAAAAGTTACTTTTCAAGTGTGTCAGATACCTTTTTGTATGTAAAATGACATTACTACCCTTCTAACTATTTCTTGACTTTAAAAAGTGTTAAAATGACTTGAATACCCTTTCACCTTTATTATATAAATTTATAATTATTCTTTATATATATATATATATATATATATATATATATATATATATATATATCATGTACACCCACCTCCAATTTAAAATTATTCTTTATATATATATAATTCTCATTATGTACACCAACCAAATTATAATTATTTTTTAAAATTATTCTTTATATATACAATATATATACAAATCAAAGAGCATTTTCTTCGTCAACTTAATTGAAATCCGCCACAAATGGGCATTTCCCTGCATTCATTTAAATGACAAGAGGACCCCCTTCAAAGGGGATTTACCCTGGCTGCCCTAAAAGTCGTTGGATCAGCACGATCAAGCCTGAAGTTCTTGCTCCAGGACCGATAGCTTCCCATCTGATTGTGAGTTTTCTCTTGGTGATTCTACTTTTAGGTGCTGCGGTTAAGGGACATAAGGTGAGGTTAACAATTTCCTTTAGAAAAGTCAGCCTATTTGTTAAGACTATATAAAGGAAGCTAGGCAAATGCATAGACAAAGAAATGAATTACATCGAAGTACAAGGCCATTAGTGAGCGCGCTACCTGCTCTAATAGGATGCCATGTCTCTGACCGCCCCTTAACTTCATTGATTAGGGTTTGTAGTGAGAGAAAGGGGGAGTGTGAAATTTGCAGTGAGGGTAAGGGCATTTTAGTCCTTTCAATTTTTTGATATTTTACAATAAAAGTTGTTGGCCTAAGCTGCCTTAAGGAATGTTTGCCTATTTAATGTCAAAAAGTATTGTTTCAGTTGCTTCAAGTATGAACTCTATCTGCATTGTGTTTTGAAATAAGTTCCAGGGGTGGTATTGTCATTTACTACTTTGTAATACATTTTATTCACTGGTCTGTAATAGTGCATTACAAAGTATCAGCTTGTTTTGGCCGAAATCACTGTGACAGTGGAGGTCAAGTACCTCAAACTTAGCTACAGGTGCTCACAAGGGTACTATGGTCTTTTCTCAGTTGTATTCCATGGATATACGTTTGCTTTGATAGCTGCATTGCACTGAACAGCCTTGGTTGAGCCTACATTGTGAATTATATAGTCTCAGGACTATTTATTGGCTGAGAAGAGTATAAATTGTTACAAGGGTATTTTGGTCCTTTCCATTTGTGTTCAAGAGTGTGACACATCCCAGTGGTCCTAGAGAGATAGTATATGCAGGAATATTGCATTTCTTGGAGGCTAAGTCTGGATAAAATTGCAATTGCAGCCTATAACCTGTAACTTCTTGTAGTTGGTGAGAATAGAGACAAAATAGCTAGGGTGGCAGGCCTAAATTGGTTCATTGCCTTGAAAATATCTAAATTATTCTCTCTCAATGATTGGTAGAAGGTGGCAGGTGTATGCTCTAGCTATGAAAGGGTTTGTGTGTGCTGAATGGTAGTATATATATGCTGTGATAAGGTTCATTAGGGTTTCAGCCTTGAGAATACACAAATATTGAGCTGCAGCTGAGAACCCTCGAGCACCCTATGAAAACCAAGTTTTTCTCTGCTATTTGATGATGATCCATGCAAGAAAAACTCATTGAATCAACCCTTGTGTGTGTACAAAGTGCTGAGATGATGCTGCTGTCAAGTTTGCTAGTGCAAGGGCTGGATTGAGTAGTGATTTTGAGTTCCAAGCTGCTATGGTCATTTCCAAGGGCTGTCACAAGTATAACTAAGTTATTTACACTTGCTCAGTACACTGTTTTGCACTGAAACATGCTGAAAGTGATTTTGATCTCTAATACTTGTGCTTAAGGTTGTTTTCTTGTTTATTGCTGTGATTTGAGTACAATATGATTAAGACTTGCTGTTTAATGACTTATTTGAGTGCTAGCAAGTATATTTTGATGAATCGAGGCTGTTAAAGTTGGCTGTGGAATTTTGTTGTGGTATACTTTGAACTTGAGTGTTGAAAACCCTATCTGTGTACTATGCTGAGCTGAACTTAGTCCTATGAATCAACTTCGTAATATACTCATGCAATGTTTGATTGTTTAAAGCTATGAACATGAGTACTACAGTGAAAGAAGACTGTGTAAGGTGCTGGTGAATTGATCTCGAGAAGAAATTTCCATTTTACCCCTCAAACCCTAATTGCAGCAGATTGTGGTTTTGAGGTAGTAACTTGGAGTTCTGTGTTGTCTAGCCTATTTCAATTGTAGGAAAGACTTGTTTATACTGATTTACATCTGTAATGGTGTGTGTGGTGAGCTATGAGAGCTTATTGGGTCCAAGCAAGGTTGCTTAGGACAGGGGGAGTGTTTGTGTGCACTGTGGTGAACTAGTGTGTGTATTGGTTGTGAAAATTAGTGTCTCTTCTTGTACTTAGGTGTGTGCAGAGAGTGAGACAGCTGAGTGTGTAACAAGATACATACAGCTATTAGTGGACTTCATATTGGCTGAGGCCAAGAACCAAGGTTTTCCCTAGTTAAGAGGGTTTCCTTGTAAACCTTGTTCATACTGATTTTTGAATGCTTATTTAATTGTAAAGAGGAATTAAAATCAAGCAAAGTTTTGAACCAATTCTTGTGTTTTCTGGATCTTCTTCACCTTTAGCTCTGATACCAATTTGTTGGGGCAGCGGAAGCGCGCGAAACACAAAGATTCAAAGAAGGCCAACAAAGCAATCATACACAAACACAAGATATACATGGTTCAGCCAAAACCAGCCTACATCCATTGATGAGAAGAGATTTCACTATGATTCGTAGAGATATTACAACAATAGAGTATTAACACCAACACTCCACGAGCCTATTTCCTCGCTATCAGCGTCACTGGTGTTTTTCCTACTCTACCAAGCCGCATACTACCTCTACCTATCAACTCCCTCGTGAGGCTACATCTCTCTCAATCTCATAAGTCTCAACCCACAATATATGTACCTATTTATAGAGTCACAAACATAATTTCTTGTTGGACAATGATTACAATACCATAGAGGCCAAGACTTGCCAAATAAGAAATTACCTAATATAATACAACTCTAAAATAGAATCCTAATTAGAATAGGAATTTGAGACACAATTTCCAACAATAAGCTTTCTTCCACATCAAGAAAAAAGAAAAATAATTAAACTAAACTTTATATAAGGATTTCTTCAAAGATATTTATAGAAATTTAACCAAAATAATTGACCCTCCTTATATTATGTAATTTGGCTTCTTCAATAGAGTACATAGATTAAATGAATTAAATAAAATTGACTAGAGAAAATTAAAGAAATTAAATAGAAAAAAAAAAAAAAAAAAAAAAAAAAAAAAAAAATTCAAATCTCTAACCAATTTAACTTTACTAGTATAAAAACGTAAAAAGGCACTTTATAGAATCTAGGGTTAATTACAATGAAACCCCTGTGATTTGCCGTATTGAGAGCCAGATGAAACTTGGCCTCTTTTTGGACAATGACGCCCCCTGTCAGCTTTTTGCCTAAACAAAGGTTGTGAAATGTCTAAATTGCCCCTTATGATTTAATTAATTTTTAATACAAAATATCAAGCATAATAAATTACTTAAATGCCCATATCATTAAAACCCTTGGATAGATGAATCCGATTCCACTCTCTTTTTTTGATCTTCCAGATAATGGATTATTTTTCCTATGGGAGGCCTAATAAGCCGTTGAGGGCGAGGAGCATGTGGGGTTGCTGATGTATTATTATTCATAATTTTATCTTGAATTCCATTTCCTTCTCTCTTCCACTAAATCCTTCTAATCCACTGAATTAGCACACCTCTGCAAATACAAGGGTCTTCAGATTCTTATACGTATGTATTCCCAACCACATGCAGTGGAGCACCATCATAAACCCACTTCTGTGAATTCATATTGGTATTGTTATAAAAATCGGAGAGAAAAATTCAAGCTACAAACACTAGATATTCACATCTTTTGCATCACACAATTAATATTATTTTCTTACAAAAATAATTATATAAATAATCCAAATAAATCTCAGAAAAACCCAAATTATTCCATGCTTTCCATCTCCCCACTGATCATGGAGACCCATTTTGTCTCAATATAATAAAAACCTAAAACACAGACAACAATGGCCGCCCCTCTCTTCCCCCTCTACACCCACCATCGCCACCCCAACCACCATCCCTCCCCTTTCCCTTCTTCCTCTCTCCGTTCTCTCTCTCCTCTGCATCCTCCGTCGCAGTCGCAGCCACCGCCACCATCACTCTCCTCTCTCTTCTTCCTCTATCTCTCGTCTCCACCTCATCTCCTCACCCCCACTGCCGCCATCGCCATCTGGCTCTCGTCGACGAAGTGGTGGATGTACTGGCTGAATGGAGAGGTTTATTGTTTCGCTTCTTATCAGTTATTAATTCTATTACACATAAAACAATTACCAATCCAATAGTTGTATTAGCCGAATCTATCCACAACATTATCTGGGTAAGACACCTATATGTTTGACAACAATGAAATTGATTGTTGTGCTTTAACATGGACAAATTCATTGGAGAACAAAATACATAAACGTATGTATTTGTATATATATATATATACACACACACCCATTTACAAAGAAAAAAATTCCAAATACACACTGATACACACACAATTAAGTTAATTCACACTGATACACACACATTATATATACACACCCATTTATTATTTTTTATTGCAAGAACTATGTATTTGTATATATTTTTGGCAACATTGGTGATTTTCTGGAGATTGATTCATATTTCAAATGGTAATCAAATTAGATTGTTGATTAGTGAAAGTGTGTGTATATGTGTATGTATTTGTGTCTGTGTATCTATACTATATGTATATATGTATCTATAAATTGTCAAGGTCAAAAGGGTAATTTTATGATTCAAATAAGTCAATTCAAAAGTCAAAGGGTATCAGGGTCAATTTACATTGTGTCAAACCAGTCAGGGGGTGTCATTGTTAACTTTAGCATTCTTAGAGGGTGTCATTGTTCAAAAAGGGGTCAAGTTTCATCTGGCTGTTAATAGGGCAAACCACTGGGATTGTCACTGTAATTAACCCTAGAATCTACTTTAACTATTATTACAAAAACTATATCAAATTCCATCTACACTTTTATTTAATTAGAAGATTGAAAGAACTCAACAACAATGATACCCCTTGAAGAGGAAATGAAAATAGTAATGTAAGAAAATAACACACTAACAGAGTTCATTGCTTCTGGCACTTTTTTGGCTGCTTAAAGTTTAAGAGAAAGAAGCGGGTAAAACATTTTGTCCCCCCTGGTATTGGTTTATAGATTTTACATTGATATTGGCACACCCAAAATTTGGCTTTATTGGGAATAATATGTGGAATTTCTTTAAGGATATAATCAAAGGAAGTGACAAAATTTTTACAAAATAATAAAAATAAAACAAACACCACATAAAAAATTCGTGGTTCAGCATTAAGCCTACATCGTCAAGAAACCAACAAGAGATTGATTTACAGCAAACTTGGATATTAAAAAATGAGAAAACCTTTCACTTAGGGAAAAAGTTTCCCTATAACTCTCAGTCAAAATCCACCAACATCTCACACAATTGGCTCAAGAAATCCCTAATCCATTGCTACAATGCAAACCATTGCTTTTCCACAACGTACCTTCTTCATACCCATGGCCATGATTGCATACCAGACCAACACATGATACCACCGCCCATCACCAATATAATACAAGTGAAATTAAACACCGATCCAAAAAACAGAAGCAGAATTAAAACCCTAAAACAAACCTGACGGAGACCGCCTCCCAGCTTAATGGTTTGATTGGCCATACTTGAAAGATCAAGAACCACATCCCCTGGAACCTAAAACACTTATATTGATCAGTTATGTGTATATATGTTTCTACTTGTGTGTATATATGTATATGTATATGCATATGTACCTATGTGTGTGTGTGTATATATATACTGTACGTATAAAAGGACTAGAGAGCATGCAGAACTCACAACAAGTTGATCAACAAAACTTGCAGGCGATTCCAACGGCTTAGCTTCCATCCTTTTTACTCAAAAGAGAGAACACCCACGAAATTGACAAATTGTTTGATGTAGAGATAGACTACCAAAGGGCATGTTTGCCTCGTGTTTTTGCTACTACATGTTTTATGCTTAGGCCGGACCGGGCCGCAGCATGTTTGGTAAAGTTGGGCTTTGCTTCCAATAGTGCAGAAGTGCTTCAATTTTTAGGCCCAATTTCGGAATAAAAAATTGATGCTCCGGCGAAGGAGCGCTGAAATGGTACGAGCCTGTAGCTGGGTTAATTTGGAAGCAATATAAAAGGAAAAGGAAAAGGAAAAGGAAAAGGAAAAAGAAAGCCCAAAAATTTCGTGTCTGTTTGATTTATAATTTTGAAAATGGTTTTTAAGAATTTACAAAACAGAAAAATTGTTCTCAAAGAACAATCTATTATAGTTCTATGAGAATAGGCAGTTTTTTTTCAAAAAACTGAACCAATCAGAGTTTTTTTTGTACAGTTTTCTATTTTCATTCTATTTCCATAGTTACAAACCAAGTAGACTCTCACTCCTCTCATCAATCCGTAACCCTAGGCTCTAGTAAAGGAGGCAACTCACCGTGAGCAGCCTCTTCCAAAAATGGTAGCTCCATGTTCTAGCCGCCAATTCATTCTTCTCTTCTTCCTTTTTTTAGATCTGAAACCCTAGTTCTCAAATTAGGTTTATTTTTATTTTTTTTATGTTGTTTTCTTTCTTATGTGTCGCTTTTGTATCACTTTTTCTTACTATCTTTTTTATATGATTTCAAATCAAGAACACAGTGTATTTAGGGTTTTCAATTTGTACTCATGTTGCGAGTTTTAGTGTCACTTTCTTTGACTATAGTGACGGTTATCATAATTATTGATGTCCCTCTGCTAATTTTGGTTTATTTAATGTACATTTTGGTTATTGTAACGACTATTTGTGGTTTGATTTCAACTTCTTTTGTGTTTATATATGTGCCTCTGCTATTTTAGTCGATTTTATGAATATTTAACTTGAATTTGAGTTGAAATTGAGAATCCAACGTGTTAGGGTTTTCAATTTCAACTCAGTTTGGTATTAGTTTGATGCCATCTTTTCGGGTGACACTTCAGGGTTCTGTGTGGGTTTGCTTTTCTGTCGATTTTCTTACATTTTTATGTAGTGAAGTTTCTTTTCATTTTATATTGTTGGGCAACAGTGAAGATTTGGATGTACTTGTAATCTGCTTATGTTATTTTTATCCATATTTTGTAATGATGTTGAGATTTTTATTTAGCTGACTTGAAATGAACTCAATTTCTCAATTACTTGTATTGTATTATTACATTTTTTTAGACTAATTCCTCTCTAGGCGAAGACTCGAGGATTAATTTTTTTTTTTTTCTTAGTTGGTACCCACACACATATGTCTGTTGAACTAAGAAGGGAGGGTTGAATTGGTCCTAGGTAGATTCTTCTCTTTTTCACTTGAGTATAAACATGCATAACATAGAAGATAGAATCAATGCAAACAGTCAAATCACATGGACACAAGATATACAAGAAAACCCTATCAATAGGGAAAAACCTTGGTTCTTGTCCTCAGCCAATAAATGCCTCCACTAGTAGTATGAACCTTGTTAAACACTCAGCTATCTCGCTCACTGCACACACCCTTGTACAAGAATAGATACTAGCTTTCACAACTAATTCACACTCACTAGCTTCCCATCTTCACTTGCTGCATGCAAGTAGTTACTCACTCAGCTGCCCTACTTTCCAACCACCTTGTACTCACTAGGACACTGACTTTCACTCCCTCTACACATACACAAGATTAAACAATATGCACAAAGGCACCCCCCCAGTCCACAACCCCTATGCTTGGACACACAAAGCTCTCAATAGCTTAATCAATAATGAATAAAGGTGTCAACACACAAAATACAGAATACTTAAGCTGCAACACAAGATAAGAGTGAATACTCAGCTCTAAGTATGAAATACAAGAAACCCTAGCTTTACTTCTTTGCAACAAGAGGGGTAGATCAGTCAAATCATAATGCAGCTTCACTTGATGCTCAAAATAGGTTCCCACAGCCTTGAATTAGTCAAATACACTTGCTTGTATAGATAGCACAAGTAGATAAGCAAGGTAGAACAATAACAACTCTTATAAGACAAAAACCCCAAAGTGAAGGGTAATGAAGTAATATCACAATGCAGCTTCAAGAATGGCCTGCAATGCACTCTCAAAACTCTGTACAGCTAATATACTCTTGCACATATATCTTTCTCAATGAATTCAGCAAGGTAGAATAGATTTAGTACACAATAGAGTAAAACCCCAAAATCAAGGGTAAAGAAGTAACTTCCAAATGCAGCTTCAGAATTAATCTAGACTTGTCACTCACAGCCTTGATATCTTCATAGATCTTTGCTCAACAAGTTTCACAATGATTGGAGCAAAGTATAATAGTTTCACTTCATAAAATGCTTAAAACCCCAAAACTTAGGGTTGAAGGGTAAAAAGGTAATTCAGCTTTAGAGACACCCTAAAGTTCACTCCCCTAGTCTTCAACAGACAATGTACACTTACTCAAATGATTAGATCAAATTATAAGGCAAGGTAAGACAATGTAAGTTCACAACAGTAACATTAAGGTTAGAAACCCCAAATCTCAGTTATGTTAAACACAGCCTTAAGAGGCTTCAATTCTTCAACTGCCAACAGCACCCTCAGCATAAAGTAGATGAGTTACACTTGTACTACAGCTGGGACAAGTTAAACATTCAATGGCACATCAATGCAACTCTAATAACAGCAAAACAACAGCTTATAGCAGGCCTATATTATGCAACTATAATTTTCTGATTTGAGGGTTAAATATGTAATTCTGAGATTGAACCTTCTTGTTTCAAGTTCCCTCATTTGTATTTCAATATACTACATTTGCTCACATCACTGCTTCTCAGATTATAACAAGTAAATAGTTTCTGCTGCAGCAATGTTATGAGGGCAAATCAGGTATTTCAACACTACCAACATCTAGATTTTGGCTCTCTCAAGTGTATTTCAACTCTATAAACATGTTTAGAAAGATAATACACCCAGCACAACAATATCTTGCATTCTCAACACCTATATCAGCCTTGTAAACTAGTATAAACTCAAACTAGTGAGGTTTAAAATATCAGATTCTGAAATAATGGTTTCTCTCACTTAATTTTAACTCAAGCAGCCACAAAATAATATTTTTTAATCATGCTCAGATGTTAAACAATCGTAGTACAGCAAGATTATAGTAAGTTAATCTCAGTTTCAGCAGTATAGACCAGAAAATCAAGATTAGCTAGAGGTTTGTGATATGATATTCAATACCAGCCTTAATATGTAGTCTCAGGCACCTTCAGCTATTGTAGATCACCAAAATATGTATGCTCAGCCCTTATTCAAGCTCCAGAAAATGACCCCAACAACTTTGAACCATTTCAGCCACCTCTTGCACCAGAAAATCAGCTCTTGACAGCCTCACTCATCTTCACTTCAACTATGCTTCCTTTAGGCAAATTTCAGAGATTCATTGAAGCTTAAACATCATACAATATCTTTGAGATTGTTGTTCATTCTTAGCTCTCGAATAGGACTCTCTCTCAGCTGCTACAGACTTACTTTTCACACTTAGAGGCACACCATGCTGAATTTTATAACAACATATTTATAGGGTCTTCATTTCAGCCCTACTATGGATAAGACCTTCTTGAATTAGCCAATGAATTCGCTATACAGGTTTTTCTCTTCAGGACCACTATGCCACGTGGCAGTGGTGTATTCTTACAACACTATACACTCTCACTACAGCCAATGGACAGCTATGCACCTTTCTCTTTGCAGGACCACATTCTCACGTGACAGCAAGGTGATCTTCACACTGAATTGACTGGAATACCCTCACATAGACTATATCAAAAAACTGTACTCTTCTATGCTGCAGCTTATATATATGATTAACATATTAAATAAAAGCCTGTGGCTATTCCCAGCAATGTAGTAATGTCACACACACATGTAGAAATACCTAATTGCCCCTATGACTGAATAGATATGCAACATAAGTACTAAACCTTTAATGACCCTTGGCAGCCCTCTGAAATGATATTGTTGTACCTTTAAGTGTTGAACCTCTAAGTGCTGAACCTTTAAGTGCTGAAGCTGAAGCTACTCAGTAAGTGCCGAACCATAAGCTTCATTATTTTGTGTTGAGCCATAAGTTTCATTACCCTATGCTGAACCATGAGTAATAAACCTGTAATTACACTTGGTAGCCCACTGAACCTGAGAATGTAGAATACTCTTGCCATTGAAAGTGCAAAACACTTGATCAAACATGAATCAACAATCTCCCCTTTTTGCACTTTCAAATGTTAAAAACCTATTAGTACATTTCTCCCCCTTTTTGACATTGGAAGTCAAAAGGTGAAGAGATATATGAATGAAGAATGGAAGGCCAGCAACTTTTCAATTGGGAAGTATCAGAGGAGATAAGGTACAAACTTTGAAGCAAGATATAGAAGAAGTTTGAGCAAGGAGCTGCCAAATTAAACACCATACCTACTGAATTGATTTGCAAATCGTTGTTTCTGAGAAAAGGAGGCCTGAGATTAACCCTTGAAAGGACACAATGGATTGATTGAGCTGCTACATTGATGACCACACCTGCAGTATGAATTTGCAAGTCTTTGTCTTTGAGAGGAGGAGGTTTTGAAGTGTTAATTAAACTTGGTGCTCTTTGAATTAGAGGTCTTATGTCTGACATTGTCTTCTTGATCAAACCATGTTGTAAAATAGCTTTTGAAGGAGCATAAAGAATTGAATGAGCTGCTAAGTTGATCAACACACCTTCAGGATGAATTTGCAGGTTCTTGTCTCTTAGTGGAGAAGGCTTTGAAGAATCAAATGCAGAAATACTTTCCACCTTATCATTTCCCTTTTCAAAGAACTTTAAGTTCCTCTTACTTCTGAATTTCAACTTTAATAGGCTTATGGAGGCTTTGAGTTCTTAAACTTTTGAGAATTCAGCAAGTTTTCCTTTTCTTGACAGACTTATAGTTGTAAGAACAATAATCTCTGAGGCTTGAAGATTATTTGCTTTGGAACAACAACTAG